TAAATCCTGAATATTCATTGGAAGGACTGATGCTGAAGGTGAAGCTCCAATACTTTGGTCACCCGCTGTGAAGAACTGACTGATTGGAAAAGTCCCTGATACTGGGAAAGAATGAGGGCAGGAGGAGAAGGGGACGACAGAGGATGGCATCACTGACTCAATGGACATGAGTTTGAGCAGGCTCTGGGAGATAGTGAAGGACAGGGAAGCCTGGTGTGCTGCAGTCCATGGGGTCACAAAGAGTCAGACATAGCTGGGCAACTGGACAACAACAACACTTTCAGACAAGGAAGGATGCCAGCTTGTTCCCGTGGTGTCAGCTGGCATTGTGAGTGTCATAATATCTCTTGACAAGATTCCCACAGCTCTGGCTTCACTTGGCACCTAGGCTACTAAACTAGGGTAATTGCTATTATGGTTGGGGTGGGGCTGATGTGATTGGAGATCCATGTTGATATTTGCTCATGACTGATGGTGTAGGAGGGAGAGACTTCTGTGTAAACAATGGTTAAAAACCTGCATTTTCTGAAATACTTGCCTCTTTCCTCTGTTTTAATTGGACTGTGACTACAGAGCCCAGATGACTCTCCTTACTTATTCTCTCTGCTGGAGAGATGCAAACCAGACTCCCATGGCCCATGGCGCAGGTTGATCTGAAGCTTCTTCCTAGGCTTTGGGGTCTCAGTATTTGAAGACTTCAGCAACACAGGAGTATTTTTTCTTCGTAGAGAGTCACACAGCTCCCCCTTGTCAAGAAATAGGCGTGGCTTACATATTGGGATGAATAGTGATCACCCACAGAGCATCTTCCCAAACCAGAATGACCTCCCATGCATCCCATGGCCATGTTGGGCTATGCAGTTGCAGAGTGAGTTGACTGGATGAGAGGTGGGTATCTGAGATAGGTAGATGCATTTCCACATAGTTTGGAATTGATGTCAAGCAAGAGAGCAAGAGTTTCTGAACTCTGTGATCTTAAGACCTGGATGCAGAGGATGTTGGTGTGTAAAGGGAAAGAGGTGAGGATGGACAGAGAGAGGCAGAAGCCAGAGAGGTAGCACAAGATTGTCTGTGCCCTGCACCACCACCCCACACACTGTCCAGTCCTTCTAAATTCAATTCAGAATTCTCTGTTCTCAAAAAAAAAATTACTCCCTTGGCTCAACAAGACCCAGCTGCTTGTCTTATATGTGATTAAAAACAGGCTGCTCTTAAACTCCCTTGGTAAGAATAACCAGGCATGACCTTGGTCTGAAGAGCTGTATATTGAAGACCTGTTTGCTCATTACTATTTATATTTCAAATGCTATCAGGAATTGAGGATATTATCAGTAACAGGAGAAAGATATTACCAGAAGCCTGAGCTGCATGCTGTTGAGAGGTGTGGCTTTGTTTTCAGACCTGCTGTCCCATATACACACTGTGGCTGCAAGTGTGTTGGGAAGAGGGGTGGGACTTGGGGATCCTATTCAGCAAGGGCCAGAAAGGTCAGTCCTCCTGGTCCCTGGGAACAAAGGAAAGAGTGGCTGGTTTCCTATCTGGAGGAGAGGTATTCATCAACCCTTTCCATGAGCCTGTGGTTCCTTCAGGCCTCATTCCAATTTCTGAAGTACGGGTGTCATTTAAATTTTTCTTTGTGGTGTGTTCAGTCACCCACTTGGGTTTGACTCTTTGCAACCCCATGGCCTGCAGCACACCAGGCCTCCTTGTCCCTCACCATCTCCCTAAATTTGCCCAATTCAAGTCCATTGCATCGGTGATGCCATCCAGCCATCTCATTCTCTGATGCCCTTGTCTCCATCTGCCCTCAATCTTTCTCAGCATAGAGACTTTTCCGTAGAGTGGGCCGTTTGCATCAGATGACCAAACTACTGGAGCTTCATCATCTTCCAACTCATACCTTCCAATGAGTATTCAGAGTTGATTTCCCTTAGGATTGACTGATTTGATCTCCTTTCTGTCCAAGCTACTTTCAGGAGCCTTTCTAGCACCACAGTTTGAAGGCATCAATTCTTTGGCATTCTGCTTCTTTATGGTCCAGCTTTCACAACTGTTCATGACCACTGGAACAACCATAGCCTTGACTGTATGGACCTTGTTAGCAGAGTAATGTCTCTGCTTTTCAGCATGCTGTCTAGGTTTGTCATAGCTTTCCTGCTGAAAGAAATCATCTTCTGATTTCATGATTGCAGTCATCATCTACAGTGATCTTAGAGCCCAAGAAGAGGAAATCTGTCACTACTTCCACCTTTCCCCTTTTATTTGCCATGAAGTAATGTGACTGGATGCCATGATTTTAATTTTTTTTTTTAATATTTGGTTTTAAGCTGGCTCTTTCACCCTTTTCCTTCACTCTCATCAAGAGGCTCTTTAGTTTCTCTTTGCTTTTTGCCCATAGAATGGTATCATCCACATATCTGAGGTAGCAATATTTCTCCCACCTATCTTGATTCCAGCTATAATTCATCCAGCCCGACATTTCTCATGGAGTGTTCAGTGTGTAGGTTAAATAAATAGGGGAACAGCAGTTCGCCCTGTTGTACTCCTTACTCAATCTTGAGCCAATCAGTTGTTTCACCCAGGGTCTGACTGTTGCTTCTTGACCCACGTACAGGTTTCTCAGGAAACAGGTAAGATGGTCTGGTATGCTCATATCATTAAGAGCTTTGCACAGTTTTTTATGACCCACACAGTCAAAGGCTTTAGTGTAGACGATGAAATAGAGATAGATGTTTTTCTGGAATCCCCTTGCTTTCTCTATGACCCAGCGAAAGTTGGCAATATGATCTCTGGTTACTCTTCCTTTTCTAAACCCAACTTGGACATCTGGAAGTTCTTGGTTCACACAATGCTAAAGACTGGCATGCAAAATTTTAACCATGATCTTACTAGCATGGGGGATGAGTGCAATTGTCTAACTGTTAGTACATTCTTTACTGCTATTTTTCTTGGGAACTGGGGTGAGGATTGACTTTTTCCAGTTCTGTGGCTATTGCTGGGTCTTCTGGATTTGCTAACATGTTGAATGCAGCAACTTGATGGCATTATCCTTTAGGGTTTTGACTAGGTCTACTGGAACTCTTTGCAGTAGTGTGTCAATAAAATCAAGTAAATATACAGAGGCCTATGGTCAAAAACTTACAAGCCAAAAGTGTATGTTACCTGAGTGAGTTGTAGTAACAGTGCTCCTGACCTCGGAGGGATAGCAGTGAGCACTCCTGGAGAGACATCTTAGTTCTCAGCCCAGGGATGGAACCTGGATAGACTGGATGAAACCCCATGAATCCTAGTCAACACACCATCAGGAACTAGAGACTAGAAGCAAAGTGACTCTGACTCTTTCCCCCATTTGAAAGCAAGAATGTTTCAAGGAGGCAAAAACTATCAATAGGTACAAAGTTTATTATTAGACACACAGCACATTGTATGGCAGAGCATACAGAGAAGCAGGTTGTTTATTTAAGACAGAAGCAAAGCAGAAATATTCCCCCAGAGAGAAAGGGTATGGGCATCCTCTCTAATGAGGAGAAGGCTCAGAGCTAAGCAGAGACTCACACCCGCAGTAAAGTGCAGAGTCCTGAATGAGGGGGAGAGCAGTAATGACGTAACATAAATTAACTTATATAGGACAGCCCTTCCAGATCATTGTTTACCTTTGGCCAATTATCTTGTTAATTTCTTCACACCTGACTGGTCCATGGACCCTCAAAAGGTGCATGTGAAACTGTTTTCTAAGATAGATCCCACCACAGAGGCCTATGGTGCATGTCCACATTTATCATGGGGTGGGGCCCCCTCCCTTTTCGAGCCCTAAGAAGCCTTCCTGTACATCTGTAGACAGGGAAGTCTTTGTTGAACTAAGGGGTGGGCTCCTTATCTATTTGCTATAGCAGAGCTCAGCTTTTGCCACTAGCTTTGTCCTTGGAGTGTCTGGGTAAGAACAAAGCTTGAATTTTACTCGACTTGACAAACACCAGGTGTCCAGCCCAGAGGCACACTATCTCCTAGCTTACTAAGTGCAGGTTCCCTTCCTCTCTGTGTCTTGGATTCCATGTCTGTAAAATGAGAAGGGTTTGCCTATTACCTCTGAGGCAGGGGGGAGACAAACATCCCTTGAACTTCAAGGCAGGAAGAGGTTGGGAGATGAATCTGAACATGACTGGACACCCTCTCTGCCTGAAACTTCAGAAGGGATTAGGACTGTGCAGATGGTACTTTCTCTGATGAGACATCCAGAGTCACACTGTCATGGGAAGAAAGAGACCCTGGATGGTCAAGGGTGAGGGGAGTCTACTGGGTATAAGCCCACTCGATATGGCCAGAGAAGTTGGTGCTTCACTGCCAGCAAGAGGCAGCCACGATGACCTCTAAGCCCCAAGGACTACAGCTTGCCTTGATGAGAGGAGTCTGGGGTTTGTGGAGAGTTTTAACAGAGCTCTACCTGGGGGAGGCCTCAATAGAAAGAATTTGAAACCATGGGAGAGAATGAGCACAAGCCTAGAGTGAGTGCAAGGAGAGAAGGGAGCCAGGGCTGAGGATCCTGTTCCTCTCTGTGGAGTGTGAGGAGAGGAGGAGAGATGAGTGAAAGAGACTGAAGGATAAGAAGATTGAAGGCAGGAGAGGAAAGGGAAGGAGGAGGCAGTGACCGGTGGGGTCAAATGCGGTCCATGTTTGGCAGAGGTGGAGGGCTAGACACAGGTCTTGCTGAGGAGGAGACATTGGATTTTACAACAGGGCCGTCTTGGAGACCTCCTTTTAGCCCTTGCCTGTGAGTCAGCAGGCTGCCCCCCTTTTGTGTGACAGATCTTCCAGATGTGAAGCCAGTTGCAAACTATTCTGAAGGAGGAGTTCCATAGGAGGCCTGCCTTGTGGCCTCATCCCGTGGCTCAGTGGGGAAGCCGTGAGGAGCAGACGGTCATCTTTTTATTGGGATGTTGACAGCTCACAGCTCTGGGCACTGCCCCCTTCCTCCCTGGGCTGGAGCTGGGGTGGGGGGAGCCTCAAAACTCGCAGATCACGAGGAGTTTCTTACTGCAGGATACGTCATTCCACTTGCCCTCAGGATAGATCTCCACACAGTTCTCTGGTTGTCCGTCATTGTTGTTGTTGGGCTCCCCGCTGGCCCAGTTGGAATAGACCAGTGACTCCCCCGTGGGGTAGGTAAACCTACCCTCCGTGGAAATGTCACTCATGCTCAGGTAAGCTTGCTTGTTCTGTGCTCTGACCAGCTGTGTCACAGCCTCGTTCTCGGCTGCAGAGTGTGGGGAGGCCAGCTGTCCCCTAGCCTCTCTGCAGACTTGCTGGGCATCTGAATATGATTTTACAACACCTGCCATCTTGAAGATCTTCTCCCCGACAGCCAGGCCATCAGGGAAGAGTACCGCTAGGGAAAGAGGAAAGTCAGGTTGGGAATGTGGACTCCAACTGGAGTCCCCAACTCCCACAAGGGTACCAGGGCACCAGGTAGAACAAAAGCGAGGCACTTAGCTCCCGAGCACTCGTCATGTAAGAGGTGAGGACCCTGGAACTCAGGAGCTTATGCAAGAGGCCTAAAGTCGCCCAACTGTCAAATGTAGATGAGGATCACACCTTGTTGGATGTGACACTAAAGCTCCCACATGCACTTTCTGTTCCTCCCCGTGATGTTTTCCAGAAGCTGGGACTTTAATTACTGTGTAAACAGGAAAGACTGTGGCAGGGAAATGACACTTAGAGCCCAGGGCAGCTCCTGAGAGTGGAGAAAACTCCACACAGGCAGCTGATTCTCACCCGCACATGATGACCGGGAGTGTGGAGTTGTCTGAGTGCTTCTGTGCTGTGTGAAGGGTGAGGAGAAAGGGAGGACAGGGGTGCATCTGAGAGCAGCCAAGTGCTGACCTCTGCACTGGGGGCAGTCCAGTGTTGGCTTCCATATGCTTGCAGGTGATGCTACAGCCAGTCAGCCTCTCTGGACCACTGGGCAGGGGGTGACAGAATCTCAGAGCTCTGCGTGTGGGCAGGAGGGCAGGGTGGGATCAGCTTTGGAGAGAGCCCTATCTGGGCCTCAGAAAGTCGTGTGTTCAGCCCCACACTGGCAATGACAGTCCAGTTGACAAGGGAAAGTCACTTCTCTTTTCAGAGTTTGATCCTGGATTTCTAAGGAAAAGGTACACAGCACAACAGCATCCCCTATGTGATGTGTTTAGTATCTCTTTTGATTCCATCCCATTCATACCCCTCTAACTGCCAGGGTCATACATGGAAATCTTCAGGGCTCCTAAGAGGGCTCACTGGACTGGTTCTGAACCCAGGCTGCACCCTGACCCACTGCCATTTTCCTCTGATTAGCTTCAACAAGCAGTCGGAGTCCAGATTTTCCACGGAGTCAGGACAGCACCCAGACAGCCCTGGACAAGGTCAGTGCAAGCTCATGTGCCATGATTGGTTTACCTGCCATGTATCTGGGTGGTATGCGTGTGCATGCGTGAATATATCCATGTGTCAATCTGAAGGTACATGGGGTGACTCAAGGTCCATCAGGATGGGTGTGCATATGTCTGCATGTGTGTTCATGTATGTTGATGGTGTGGACTGAGTGATGGTGTTTAGGTACACACATGTGGCCAGCGCATATGCTCAAGTTCTCCTTTGTTTGTATCAGTCTGCATGAAGCATTAGTTTTTAAGTTGTGCCTGACTCTTTTTGACGCCATGGACTGAAGCCCACCAGGGTCCTCTGTCCATGAGATTTTCTAGGCAAGGATATTGGAGTGGTTTGCCATTTCCATTCCTGGGGATCTTCCCGACCCAGAGATCAAACCCAGGTCTCCTGCAATGCAGGCAGATTCTTTACCAGCTGAGTTAACAGGGAATGAGAGAGTAAATAGATATGTAAATATGATTGTGCAAGAAGGAAGACATAAACTGCTGAAAATTCTCATCCCACTACTTCAGTACTTAGTTGGCTTAAGTTCTTAGAGGCCAACCCTCTGTGTCACCCAGTCAGGTCCCTATATGCACTACTCCTACAGAAAACTCTTCCTTTGTTGGATCAACAAGGTTTGATAAGTCATGTGCATTCAAAGCTGCCTTCAGAGAGAGGAGAGGAGGAGGGGCAGTTGGTGGAGCGTCCCAAAGGTACAGGGCACTCAGGTGTGTGCTCCCAGAGGCCTCTGCCTGCTTAGGATCGAGGCTTAGGGAAGAATCTCTGCTTCAACACCACAAGAGGTGCAGAGGGGGCGTCCAGCACTGGCCAGAGACTGGAGGCAGCCTACTCCTTCCAGACCCGGGGACATCTTTAGGGTAAGATACTTGGTGGCCACACACCAATGAAAGGTCCCCAGCAGCATTGAAGCCCACAGGCAGCATCCCACCCCCACTCTCAGGATCATGTCTGGATTCTCTGCTGCCCTGGGCTGTGTGGCTTCTTCTCTGGGCATTTGCACAACTGGCCCAAAGAGGGAAGAAATGCATCCTGGGTTGGATGTCCGTTTGTCTGTCATAGGAACACGCCAGGGTAGGCCGGGGTAAGGTCTGCTGAACGGATGACTCAGACCGCATCCTCCTCCTTGTGCCGTGCATCTACTTGAGCCCCTGGAGCACGTGGGACTCAGCTCTGTCACAGCCCTGTCCTTAGCCCCGCTCCTGCCCCAGGTCTAGGTCAGTCCCAGTCATGGTCCCAGCAAGTCCAATTTAGACCCAGCCCAGCGAACTGCAAGCCAAGCCCAGACCCAGTCTGAGACCCATGATCAGGGCCTGGCTCAGGGTCAGGTCCAGGAACTCACCTTTCTTATACTGAGAGAAGGCATTTTGGAGGCGTCGCAGGTGTCCCTCTAAGACTGCCACCTGCTGCCTGACAGCCTTGACCTCTGCAGAAGAGAGAGGCCAAGTGAAGGCAGATCCAGAACAGCCTGGGGTCACTCAGGCCCCAGCCTCAACAGAAGTGTCCAGGTGCAGAGGCAAGTTGGGGGTGGGGTAAGGAGGTGGAACAGAGGCCTAGGAAGCCCTCTTCTGTTGACCTAGCTGGCCTCTGATTCTACGGGATTTCCTGCGGTTCCCTTGTGAACAGTATCCCCAAGACAGGTCCCTGCACTTCACTGACAGTGAACCAGATGTCATTTTAATTCCAAATTCTAGGAATCTGATAGTACTTCCTTTTGCAGTTCAGGGGGTGGTATGGTTGTAGGAGAGGAATAGAAATAGCTTGAGTATTTCCCATCCATTGAGTTATTTGATGTTCAAGGTTATCTGATGAACTGGAGAGGGAGATTGGCTTGTCATAGAGATCAGATAGAAAATCTGCTCAGGGTGTTCTCCAACAAGTCATAGAAGCTAAGACTAGAGTCCGCCTTACCATACACCCTGTCAACTTCTCCTGCTTTGACCCCCATCTGTAACTAAATGGGTTACCTGAGAGGAGAGCTGAGCTAAATAAGGCCTCCTCCCTGCCCCACACCCTAATGGGGTCCCCAAGTTTTCCTTACCTGTAAGCCCACTCTCACCCTTTTCTCCTCTGTCTCCAGGAGTACCTCTGTCTCCCTTTAGTCCTGGGGGGCCCCTGGCACCTGAAGGCCCCTGTGGACCTATGGCTCCAGCAGGCCCTGGGATAAGAGAAGTAGAAATGGGTGAGCACGAACATATATTTTAGTATTTTCGTGCCCCCCCCCCCCCCAACTCTGGGACTCATATCCCCCAGCAGTACACCCTCTACCTGTACAAATATCCCTCTGTGTCTGGAACCTCTTCTTGCATCCCCTCTATACACTGACTGTCCCATAACTGAACAACCAGCCTTCCCTGGATACAGACAGTCCCTGCTAATCACCACCCTCTCCCTGGAGACAGACAGTTCCCAGAGCCCAACACTGGTTCTCGCCCTGGAATGCCAGCTCTGACCTGATGGCTGGTGGGGGTGGGCACAGGGGAACATGAGCCCGGCCCCACGTCCATTGCTCACCTGCCGCCCCAGCACGTCCAGGGGCTCCAGTCTCCCCGGGGGCACCTCTCTCTCCTTTGAGACCTGCGGGGCCTGGGGAGCCCTTCGTGCCTGGGGCACCCGCTTCTCCTGCAGAAGGAACACATTGGAGAAACACGGCTGAGAGTGTGCTCAGCAGGTACCATTTCCTCAGCAGTGCAGCTTGTCACGCACAGCTCCAGGTGAGAGAGCGACCTGGGAGACTGCTCCTGATGGCCTCGTCTCTTCCAGGAACGGTATTGGGGAAATTCAGTCAGTGTGGGAATGTGGGTGGAGAGGCCCAGGCCAGGGTGACCAGGTGCGGAGGTTCCAGGCTTTTCCAGGCACTGTGCACGTACCTTGGACCCCACCAGGGCTGCACATGTCACCCCTCCCATCTCCCTCCCTCACCCACCACATACCACCCTCCTACCTTTGGGCCCAGTCTCTCCTTTGGGGCCTGGTGTGCCCGGAGGTCCCATGCTCCCCTGTCTCCCTGAGGGGCCCTCTCTCCCAGCTGGACCAGGCATGCCTGGAGGCCCTGGGGAAAAGGACCAGCCTGGTTAGTGACACTGAATGTCCTTGGAAGTAGGAGTGCATATAAGATGGGGCTAAAAAATCTTTAGCCTCCTCCTAAAGATGTTGTCCCTGGAGAAGCTCCAGCCTTCCCTGAAATAACCCCATGCAAATTGAAGGCAGGAGGAAAAGGCGATGACAGAAGGGGGTGGTTTGATGGCAGGACCACCTCAAAGGACATGAGTTTGAGCAAACTCCAGGAAATAAGGTAGAACAGGGAATCCTGGCATGGGGCAGTCCATGGGGTTACGAAGAGTCAGACGGGGACTCAATGACTGAAATACAAATCTGTAGTTAAATGCCTATCTCCTGGCCATTTACATTCATTTATTCCACAAATATTCACTGAGCTTCTACTAGATACACAGTGCTGTCCTAAATGCTGGGATTCTTAGTGGGAAAAAAAAAAACCCACAGATTAAACAAAATCCCTCCCTCAAGGAGCTTAAACTCAACTATGTAGAAATACATAAAAAAAAGGAAAATGTTTAACATATGATAATAAGATCAGAATTAGTGCCACAGAGGTAAATTAGAGCATAGAGTATTAGGGGTGTCGTCTAAACAGGATGGCCAGAGAGGGAGTCTGTGCAGCTGTGAAGGGGGTGAGGAGTGAGCCATGGGGACGTGTATGCACAGAGCAAGGACAGGGCCCTGGGGAGGCAGGGGGATGTGTGTGCTCAGGGACCAACAAGGAGCCAGTGTGGTCAGTGCCCAGGGAGTGTGGGAGGAGGGGAAGGAAATGAGCTCAGAGACATCAGCAGAGCTGAGTGGTGGGGATGTGTGGGGTGTAAGGTTTCACTCCCAGGGGAGAATTGCCCCCCTGGACGGACTCTCTCACTGACTCCTTCCGGGCAGGAATCTCAGAGGCACTGAGGAAAGACGGAATTGTCCCTGGATATACAGCCCCCCAAGCAGGGTCCAGGTGTTATTGGCCCTGCATGACACGTCTGGCGCATCACCAAGTGACCCAGCCCCACCCTCTACCTCTGCTCAAGGGTGTCTCCTCTCAGGCCCATCTTGTCCTTCACATCAGGTTCTTGGGAACATGTGTGTCAGAATCTGTGGGGGAGGTTGTCCCCAGTGCAGACTCTGGCCACACCCAGCCCTACTGGTCAGGATCTGAGGATGCTGGGATCTCCAGGAAATTCCCAGACCCATCACAGTTGAAGGACAGCAGTGCCTGCATCTGGGGAGCCAGTGTGGAGCCTGGTCTTGGCCCAGCTGTGCACTGTTCTGTCTCCAAGCACTGACTCAAGGCCAGGCTTGGAGTGCACAAGAAAGGGTGGTCTGGGGAACATCCATGCAGCTGAGGGGTCACTGTAGGAAAAGTCCCCACCCCTCCCCTGCCCTGGGATTCAATTCAGGGCTCCTCTGAGAGCTAGAGAATGCTCGTACCTTGAACACCACCCCACTATTGAGTTCACTTCTAGGCAGCCATATTAAGGCCCAGTTCATTCATGCTGGAAGCTACTTTCTGTTTGTAAAGGACAGACAGATACTTACAAAGACTGGTGTGTATAGGAACCAGCAACAAGGATCCTACAAATTGTTGCTCATTTGCTCCTTCCCCAACCAAAATACAAACCAGAGAAAGTTAAAAGACCTCAGTTGATCCCTCCACAGCCCTGGTTCAGTGCCATGGTGGTGCCCTCGTCCTTGTTGCTGGTTCATTGATTCTTACTTCTTGCCAGCAACACCTAGATCTTCTCCTGTGGGGCAGTGTTTCTCAGACACTTCCCTTAATAAGCAGTATCTTGGGAAACCTCAGGAGAATCCACCTGATTGCTGATTACAGCAAGAGGATGCAACATTAGCCTAAAGCCTCACCAAAAAAAAGGGGGGGGGGAGGCTTGGCTCAACTATTTGTCACTGTGTGGTCATGTTACTCCCATCCACAGATGAGCAAATTGAGACTCAGAAACAGAGTGACTTGTCCCTAGGGGACTCTATTGTGGAAAGAGAACTAGTAGATAAGCACAGATGTGTCTGAATAAGAAACTCATGTCCTTTTCTCCTAGCTTGGGTTTCACTTAGCATCTTTGTGTCACAATTGTCTTCCCTATCAAATGAGATTAATGCATCACTTGTTAGACTTTTGGTGGGATTAAATAAACTACTCAAGGGAACTCCTAAGCACAGGGCTGGACAAAGAAATACAAGCTTCCTTTCTTTCCCTCTGTAATATATTTAGGGGAAATCCTTTTATTCAGGCTTGAGTATGGGACTACAGTGTCTCATCCTTTCCCACCCATCATGGAGTAGAACCTAATTAAATATTAAAAGTCTTTAACACCCTGGAGAGGAACCATTTAATCCAAATAGACAGTAGTTAAGGTCTAGAGCAGATGACTCCAAATACCAGTCATTACTCACTCTTTGCACATTCTTGGGTTGGTTGGAGTCAGAAGATTCTAGGGGAGGAATCAGGACAGCTGGTGATGAAGCTGAAGGCTCAGGGCAGCCAGTCTTAGCAAACCAGTAGAGCTGTGTTTTAGGTGGGTTCAAAATCTGGGTGAAACCCACCCGTTTAGGAAGAAGACCATCTATAAGGCTTCCCAAGCAGAAGACTCAGTTTCTGGCTTGGTTACAATCCCGGTGCCCACCCCTTCCCACAAGAACAGGCCCATGGTCCCAGTTCTACCTGGATCTCCCTTCTCCCCTCGTGGGCCTTCTTTTCCATCTTGTCCATCACGACCAGGCAAGCCATCCTCCAGGGGGCTACACACAACCAGGGTACAGGCGTTGGCCAGTATTTTCTGGGAATAGACCTTCATTTCTGTTCCCAGAGATCTCCAGGGCTGTGTGAGCAGGAGCAACATGGAGAGAGGGAGGAGAAGCATGTCCTAGGCAGAGGAACAGAAAAAGGGGGTGCTCTTGGTACAAGGACGAGGATTAGGGCTGGCCCAGCTCCTGGAGGTCCAAGAAGCAGTTCCCTCATCTCCTCTCTCATAATCTGGAGATAAGAGCAACAGGGCTCCAACAGCAGCTTGGGGAAAGGTGGGCAAAGTCTGGCCAGAGAGGACATGAGAGGACCAGCTGGGCCTCTGAACCAGTCTGCCAGCAGCATGGATCTACTCTCAGATGCTCTGTGTCATCCCTTTTGGGGCTTGTCATCCTTGCCAGTGGTACTGTGACCAGGATGTAGAATTTCTCATTGAGGCCATCTGTCTCATCAGGAGGGACTCACTGAGTGCCCTCAGGTGGGACCTGTCCCCTTCTGGACCTGCCTATCCTTTTCTGTATCAGTAAGGTGGTTGGCTTAGCTGTGACAATACAGACTCATTTCCTCTCACTTGCTGTTCTGGACAGACTAGTATTGGAGGTCTGCAGTGCTGTCTGAAAAAAAGCCAGAGTCCTAAACTGGGTGAGGTCTGTCCTGAGCACAGGATGGGAGCATGACTGTGTGTGTACCAGGGTTTGTCATTCCTGAGCTCCACGAGGAAAGTCCCTGGCATACCTAGAGTCTGTCCTGACTTCCAAGAGGTGTTGGGCCAGCAGCCTCATGGAGGAAGGGACATGTGAGACACACAGTTAGGGGAAGGCTGGCTTCAGGGGAGGAAAGAGCAGATGTCCAATAGAGCTTCCAGTTACCATCAGAAAGGGACTCAGGAGCTACATGAGATCTGGGGTCGGTACAGGACATGGGTCAGTCCCACTGTTGGGCTTCTTTCTTCTCTCAGGCAGAAACTATAATTCTTTCACCATGGAAAGGGCTCATGGGCATTGGAAAGACTCGAAAGCAAGCCTGAGTGACCTGTGCAAACAAAGGACAGAGGGTCGCTGGCAGGCTGAGGTAGTGGGAGGGAAGGGGCTTTCTGGCCAGAGAAGTGCCTCCTTCCAGGAGGACGATGAATTCCATTTTCCATGGGAACTTCCAGACAACGGCATCAGAGATCTGGTTGGATGTCACATCCACCTCTCCCCTTCTCCCAGCCCAGGAAACACATCTCCCATCAAACAAAATGAACACAGTGTAGAGCATCTGTTATTACTTTGTGCCCCACCTCCAACACTCACCCTCCTAGACTGGAGCAGCTACACAGACCCTGCCTTCCTCAGCACCAGTAGGATAAAGCTCCCATTCAGGCAGGAAGATACTCACTAGACACAGGAAAACAAATTGAGAGGCAAGCACAGAGACACTCACTGTTGCTTCCTCTAGGGCTTCAGAACCTCCAGGCAAATTGAAGTTCCTCAGCCACTAATGACTATTTATACCTACCCTGTAACCTGAGGTTACAGTGCCAGTTTCCAGAGAAAAGAGGGGCAAATTTTGCCCTGTTGACTCAGTCAATTTTGCCCCAGCCTGGGTTCTGGACATTTGCCACTGATGTTCATGGCTCTAAACACACATTAGAGTTCAAAGAGCACCCTCAGCCCACGATCTCATCAGTATTTCACTGCAACCCTGAGAGTTTAGTTGTAGTGTCAGTGTCTGTGTTTCACGGATGTCCAGGAATCCAAGGTCCAGAGAAGACCAGCAAGTTGCACAATGACCTAGAGCTCTTGCAAAAGCAGCCTGCCTCTGCAGAGTCCAAGAAGCAGCACCTGCTGTGCCCATTTCTCTCCCTTCTCATTTCAACATTGCTGCTCAGACACTAGGAAAGAGCTGGGGGCTGCCTGGCAGATTTGAGCAGGAGTGCGGCAGGTAGAGGGGTTGCTGAGGCAACAGCCTGTTGGGGGCAGTGTCTGGGGGAGCTGCCACCCGGCAGGGGTCACTCTTTTGCTCTCTGCTGTATCTAGGAGAGCCCTCCACTTGCCTTTTAGAGGGTTGTTGTTGTTCAGTGGTTAAGTTGTGTCTGACTCTTTGTGACCCCGTGGACTTCAGCATGCTAGGCTTCCCTCAGTTCAGTTCAGTTGATCAAGTCGTGTCCAACTCTGCGACCCCATGGACTGCAGCAAGCCAGGCTTCCCTGTCCATCACCAACTCCTAGAGCTTACTCAAACTCATTTCCATCGAGTCGGTGATGCCATTCAAACGTCTCATCCTCTGTCGTCCCCTTCTCCTCCCGCCTTCAATCTTTCACAGCATCAGGGTCTTTTCAAATGAATTAGTTCTTCCCATCAGGTGGCCAAAGTATTGGAGCCATCCTCCCTTAACTTGCTTGCCCTAATCTCTCCACTGTTTGAGCCAGTGTTTCTCCATTATGTGGCCCTAGTGGCCAGTTTGGATCCTCAAGCTGCTGATACACTGCTGTAACCATCACAGGGAAACTCTCATTCCCAGTGACTGTGGGCTAGTTGTTAGCATCTCTGCTTGCCTTTAGTTCCCTGTGACTTATTTTTTCCATCAACCCTTCCCTTAGGTCTCCACATCAGCAACCCCAGGTCTTCAGCCTCCCCTTTGTCCAGCTCATTGGACGTGCTGACCTGCTCCTGGCCTTTGATGCTCCTTGTATGTTATGGAATCTACGATGTCAGCTTTCCTCAAAGGTAGGGAAAGTCTTCTCTTTTCCATACTGCAATTTTTTTGAAGAAAGATCCCATAGCACAAGACCTGGGCCCCTAAAGCTTGAGCTCTTCTCTATTCTAGAAAGAATACCCAGCCCCCTCTATTCTAGGATGTTCACACACTACCGAGAGATCTAATCAGCATAGAGGTTGAACTGAACCCTTGCTCTCGTCTCCCCACAAAGCCTAATTGTCAAGTCTTATCCTGGTGACTAGACAAACTCTCCTTATATATGGTGACTTTCATTCCAGGAGTCCTATACTTCATCTCTTCCTACAAGTTGGCTTCTATTAACTCCAGCCTCCTAGACTGTAAAATACATTCTTCATGCCTTTGGACCCCAATATAGCACAGAATTTGGTGTTTCCTTCGTGTGACTTCACATTCCAATAGAGGCCAGGTCTATTTATGATCAAACCCAGACACTCCAGTTTCTGTGATACCCCTTGCTTTTCGCAATTCCAGCAACGCAGGTGAGAAGAGTCAGATTTTAAGTGGTGATCACAATGGCTTTCACACAGAGGATCACTGGACCACCCTCTCTTCCCAAACAGTATCCTGAATGACTGCACAGTTTCTCTGGGGGCTATCACTGGGGCCGCACTGCAGTCCTAGCAGCATCCGCAGTCCCTATGGACTTCATTAGCTGTGCTTTCCTCAGAGCTAAGCTGTGTAGCCTCCGGTATTTTTCCAGATGCTCGTGCACATTACTGTTGAAGCTCCCAGATCAGGGGGCCCATGCAGGGTCAGGCCACTCAAGATGGCTTCCTCTTGTTCCCTGTTCGTGCCCCTGCTAGACCACTCCCTGCTTCACTTGCATGACCATCCAAACCTCTTAATTACAGGGCTTAATAGTAACTGCCTACATGCTTGCTGCCCCAGCTGCTGGGCTTCCTGGTAACTGATGAGCCAACCTGATGTCAATACCCCTATAAATGGTAGGCTCCTCCCTCAAAGAGTGAAGCTTACCACAGTGTGCTTCCTGCTGTCTGCTGAACATGGCAGGGTGTCGCTCTAGGACCCTTCCTCTTTGGATGTTTGCCCAATAAGCGGTGGACGTCTCTCCTGCTGTCTCTCAGCTCTTTCTTTGGTCTCAAGGCTGGGCATCTACAAGTGTGCAGGCCTGTGTGTTGCAGCCCAACAATTGGTGAGTTAGCCAGAAGGCTGCTGAAACCCTCGTGAAGGCTGAAATCTTGATGAATATGGATGGGGAAGGAAAAATTATGGGGTTAATCCCAGGGTGGCCATCCACTAGCATGTGGGTTCCTGTGGAATCTGACTACTGTAAGAGAGATCTTTCTCTTCCATTATACTGTTGACATCCTGCTAACCTCAGTCTCTTTCCAGTTTAAAAGTAGCCTGGTGCTTTTGTTTCACCTGACTGCATGGGGAGGGCTTGTGATACAGGAAAACACAAGAGTCTTTCTGATTTTATTGCTTTTTACAAAGTACAAACATACCCCTGACCCATCGCCTCTAAAAAATTACAGACACAGGCTTTAGGGACATAAACTTAGGTACAGGATTGGAAATTGGATGGGGCCAGTCACCCTGAACCGTTCGTTTGGAACCTATGGAAATGGTGAAAGAATAAGAATAGCCTTGGGTTACACACACACACAATACCCCCACTTTAGCAGCCATGAAGTTCAGAAATGGAGTGATAAAAATGCCATACCTTGGAGATCCCACCTGCCCTACAGCACTACCACTGCCAGGCTAATTGAAGGATAAGTGGACTACTTAAAAAACAACTTATACAGGAAACCCACTGTCTCAACCTGTGGACCAGTAGGCTAACTTAAGTCACACAAGCTTGTAACTAAATATTCCAGGAGCAATCACACCAGGGCCTACATCGTGTTAAGCAAAGACAATAAGTCAGCACCATCTGAGTTCAATGATTAACCACCCAAGGTCATTGCCAGCTAATGGTCAGGAGAATAACTCACTTTTGTCCTTGCCACAGGATCTACCCCACAGGGATCATATTGTAAATGGCCCTGGGACTGGTAGGGAAGTCCCACGTGTTTTAGGTTTGCAGCCTCGTGGGGGTTAGTATTAGTACCAGAAGGGGAGTTACAAATATCATCTGGCCCCACCTAAGATAATTAATCCAGGCCTCCTTATGGAGAAAGTCACCATTATATTAATACTGTGTTCTGTCACACCCTCTCCAGTATTTGATACCGGCTATGGGGACTGAGGTTGCATAATGGTACTGCAGCCCAAGACAAAAACCGTAGACAGGGGTGGCATTATGTCAGAATGGTGCTGCTGCTTGTATTTCTTAATGGTCATGATATTCCCTGTATTCAGCCTGTTAAACATCTTCTATTTCATCTCTAGTCTGAGTAGAGGGAATCTGTTTGCAGACAGTAACCTCAC